AGAAATATAGCTGAAACTGCTTGGTTCGTCCTCTGAAGAGCTTGTAACCTTTCTGTAAGTACTTACTGCTGATATCTATTGTATGGTGACTTTTCCAGAAGATTGTTTCCACAGTTTGCAGGTATCTCCTGATGGATGAGTTAGTTATTTAGTACATACTAAAAAGAAATATCGAAGTATCGAAATATCGAAATATCGAAATATCGAAATATCGAAATATCGAAATATCGAAATATCGAAATATCGAAATATCGAAATATCGAAATATCGAAATATCGAAATATCGAAATATCGAAATATCGAAATATCGAAATATCGAAATATCGAAATATCGAAATATCGAAATATCGAAATATCGAAATATCGAAATATCGAAATATCGAAATATCGAAATATCGAAATATCGAAATATCGAAATATCGAAATATCGAAATATCGAAATATCGAAACATCGAAATATCGAAATATCGAAATATCGAAATATCGACATATCGAAATATCGACATATCGAAATATCGAAATATCGAAGTATCGAAATATCGAAACGTCGAAACTTCGAAACGTCAAAATGTCGAAATGTCGTAATATCGAAATATCGAAATGTCGAAATGTCGAAATGTCGAAATGTCGAAATGACGAAATGTCGAAATATCGAAAAAAGAATTAGAAATAAAAATTCTCTATTTTCGTGTATCATGTCTAAAATTCAATGGCAATAGACCAACCTCCGTTCAAATCTCTTCCTCTTTCAAGGCCTGATGCAAAACGACCAGATATGGGTGCATTCTAAGAATAATTAAAAAAAGTTTAATTTAAATAAATCCCTATATTTTGATGGCCATTAAAACTTACCCATGGTCCTTCAAAATATTTTGAACTGTTGTTCGTGATATGCCCAATTCAAGGGATAGTGCCCTTGTGCTGACCTAAGGTTTCCTTCAATATACCCGGTTCATATTGTCTTGTGTTTTTCCAATTCTTTGCCGTTGAAACGTAAACCGAAAACTATCATTGTGTCATAAGCTCGTCACTAATCTCATATAGCAGAGACAGTATTGACAATTTGAGAATTATTTATGTTTTGATTAGGTGTTTGTTTTATTGTAATCCGTGTCCTGCGTCTATTTCGTATACCTATACTGTAACAAGAATGAATAGTACTGCTGGCGCCATCTGTTGGGGACCGCTCCAGGGACTCTTCTTCGGTGCGAGACTGCTAGTGTCATCTATTGGGAACCGCGCCAGGGACTCTTCTTCGAGAGCGTCGCGAAGTGACCTCGAAGATTCTGGACTGCCGATATGTGGCTCAGCGGAACCTTCTCGAATCAACGAGTACCTGCGATACGGCTATATAAGCCGACGGCCGGGAGAGGGAAGCAGAGTATAGTAGAGTTGAGCGAATGGCGCGACATAATAATTCGTAAATAAGTAGTCAGACATAAATAGTGGTGTACATAAATGTTCTAGCTAGTTAAGTTAAAGTTGGTTGTGTATTAAATAAATTAGTGCATATCTTCTTGCTGAATCGAGTGTGCATTTAAACAAAAAATATGCCTTTTGTCATTAGCGTTACCTACTTACCTTTTCGCCATATTTTGTAATATTTGCAAAAAGGGTGATTTTATTCTGATGAATGAAAAAGAAATCCAGAAAAAATATTTTAGATAAGTAAAAATGAAAGGGATTTCCGTATATAATATCCTCTTTGGCCTAAATTTTCGGTTAGGAACAAGATATCGAGATGCGGTTCTCGCGAGCTTGTTCAGACACCATTTAGCTACTTTTTCATAAAAAAAAACATACCAATGCATTTAATTTTTTTGAGAAAATCAACCATTTCTGTCGGAATGTCGAAAGAAGCCCTGTAGCGGCCACATGTGAAACTAACAAAACTTCAAATATTTGTAGCCCAAGAATAGTTAATTCCAACTAGCCGAGGTTTGTTAAAATGTTTCGAAGATACCTCTTTATTTTTAGAGATACAGCAAAGATTATCAAACAAATCATCGACTTTAAAGATCAGGCATGTTTTTGTTAGATTAATGTAGCGGGATTTACAGCTTCACTTTTTTAGACTCAAGATTACAGTTACGCCCCCTAGCAGCCATTTCAGAAACTTGAAAATATTTTCTCGGTTTTTCTCTTGGCCGTTTTAGTGAGAAATTTTTTGCCGCAAGCCTCTACGATGGATATGTTCCCAGATAAAGTACCTCGCATTCTTAGTTGGCCACCCTGTATGAAATTAGTATGTGCCGTTGCTCAGTGGCGAGTTAACCACATCTACTACTGTATCGCTAGAATCAGCAGCATCTAGCGGTGACAAAGGGGACTCGGCTGTCATTCTTTACAGTTCCAGCCGATGGAAATAAAAAGGCTTTAGGTCTGGACGGTGTCAAGGCTGAGGTAATACAGTTAATATATAACGAAATCATAGAACCCTTATCGTACTTAATAAACTGGTGATTCAAGATTGGGCACTGCCCTTCAGCGTTCAAAATAGCAGTTATCAAAGCAGTTCATAAAAATTGTGATAAATCGGCGCCTATAGGCCGCTAAATCACTTTTATCTATATTTGCCAAAATATTCGAGAAAATATTTGCCAGTCAAATTTTTAAAGCTCTTAAGGAAAACCACATACTATTTGAGAAGCAATATAGATTTACAGAAGGACGTTCAGTACATGTTCCAAGTTGTCCCAAAAAATTTATCAACAACGTAAAATAATATGAGTGGGTGTCAGGGGAACTCCTCACTCATTAAGAAAGAGCTGCTTGTTCCAATACGTAAAAACTGATGAAGAAATGAGCGAATGAAGGGAAGTGGAGTTCAGATTTCCTCAAGGTATGGTGTTTTTCAACATATACTTGGAAGACCTCTACAGGCAGACAATGGAGGGAGATCTAGTTAGTTTTGCTGATGATACTGCGGTTATTTATGACACCGCTGGTTGGAATGAAACAAAATCGCTCGTGGAACGAGATTTTGTGGTAATCAAGCAATGGTTTGATAGTCGAATATGACAATTAACTTCAGCAAAACTAACTTTATCCCCTGCTCTTGTTAGACCAACAAGTTGGACAGCTTTATTATAACAGTGGATAACACCAGATATGATATTGTATCGCTGCAAAGAATAAAATATCTCGGAATATATACTGACGCTCATCTCAGATGGAACGCCCACATTGCGCATATGATAGGAAAGTTGTGCACAGTACTACTGTACAATACCAGTTATCTCAGTAAATTGTTGGATATTTCACACATATTCTGGCCTAACTCACAGTTATTTACGCTATGGGGAGCTACATATATCAAACTTGGAAAGAATATAAAAATTCATCATTAAAACGATGATTAAGAAGCCAAAGCTACATACATCCAACAGAGTTATTGTTCCAAAAATCAAATATTTTTGATGTTCGTCAACTGTACTTATTCACCTGAAAACGCTTATACTGACAGAACGAACATGAGAACAGGAAAGCATGATTATGGCACACGTAAAAAACATTGTAGAGGTTCCAAAACCAGGAAAAATGTCTTACAAAAGGCCTAGCTTTCTGGGAGCTAGGTGTTATAACATGGTTTCTGAGTAATTTTAACAAATAGGCTTATTTGGAGTATTTAAGAAGAAAGTAAAACATTGGATTATGACTTAAGGTTTAGATCCCATACTCACCAACTTATTGATCTGAAAAATAATTGAAATCCGAAGTTCGAAAAAACTGCACTAGACAGTATTCCCGAATATGTAAATTTAATAACAATAATAAGGCAGAATTTTCTTTACCCGCGCACAAAGGTCACCATTTTGTGACTTCTTCTATTTATTTGTCTTCGATATAAAATTTAGTTGAGTATAGTGTATGTATATTTTGAAGACAAGTAACTACTATTATTATTTGTAGCTGCTGTTTACCCTCGCAGTGATTGATTCTGGTGAAGGATGGCACTTTGTGCTATCTTTTATCAACGCCATTTATAGCAAAGGATTTCGTCACATTATTACGTGTTATCACAGTAGCTTATGCTTGGATGTGATTTGATTTCACTTGAGAAAGTCTATAATTTCCGCTTTTTAATGGAAATACTAGCTAGTCTAATTTAGCTACTATCGTTAATGATGTGCGGTTACTGAATATCGACTTCATTATACGTTTAGTTAAGGCTTCGCGAATCTAGTTTACAACAGTTCTATTGATATTGCATGTAATATTTGCAATTTATGAAATGTGTGGTCAGATATGAGCAGTACGATGCAGTGCGTACCGGTAAACTAAATTTTGCCTACTACACATTTTACACTGCTAGAAGTTTTAACAGAATATAAAGAAATTTGCACTATGAAATTTTCAGCTCTAATCTAAATACCCATTTGTACCTCTAAGCTAAACAGAGTTTGAGTGATTAATCATTATAGTTAAGCATGTCTTGTACCGATTATATCCGTCGCCAGTAATTGAACTGAAATGGTATTGCAATAATGTTTTCCCATCAAAAGTATAACTATTTGTCTGTGTAATGCCGCTAATTGCGTTCTTTACTGCCTTTTACCTAGAATAGTAATAATTTAACAAAAGCATAGTAAGTAGGGCAGAGTTCTGTTACAAGCAAGTGAACAAAATAATTTATATTTTTGAAAAAAGTATGTCAAGGATCAACAACTACAAATTAGCGAATACTATCGCATGAATCAATTTGAGATTTAGAATCAACCTTGATCCTATACAAAAATACAGTATGTTCTATATGTGAGCGAATAATGCAGTTTTTGAATTTTGGGTTACATTTTGTATAGATTTTGTTACTATATACTTATAATGGGTGATTTTTTTGCTAGTATCTTTTTGGCAACACTGTTTTTGACAGATGACGCGTGAATCGTGTCTTGTGTCATTGTCAAACTTGTTCAGTTTAGTCTATAATTTAACCGACTTACGAACGAACAACGCTTGCAAATTATTGAATTTCACTATCAAAATTCATGCTCGGTTAGAAGAGTGCATCGAGCACTGCTTCCAATTTATGGGCAATTTGGTCGGCCTACTGAGGGAGCTATTCGGAAGCTTGTGACTAAATTTTCGAACCCAGTTTACATTATTGGACATTAAACCACCAACACGCAGACGTAGAGTGAGGACTGAAGAAAATATTGCGGCTGTATCCGCCAGTGTTAGTGATGACCGTGAAATGTCGCCGTTCGCAGCAATTGGGCCTCTGTTACTCCACTACGTGGAAAATTTTGCGATGGGAGTTGGGTGTAAAACCTTATAAAATACAGCTGGTGCAAGAATTGAAGCCACACGACCTCCCACAACCTTTCCAATTTGGTGAATGGGCGCTGGCAAAGTTGGAGGAAGATCCACATTTTTATCGAAGCTCATTGCTGGTTGAGTGGGTATGTTAACAAGCAAAATTGCCGCATCTGGAGTGAAGACTATCCAGAAGCATTGCAAGAGCTACCAATGCATCCCGAAAAAATCACTGTTTGGTGTGGATTATGGGCCAGTGGCATCATCGGGCCGTACTTCTTCAAAGACGACAATGGCCGGAACGTAACTGTGAATGGCGAGCGCTACCGTGCGATGATAACAAACTTTTTTTTGCCCAAAATGGAAGAGCTGGACTTCTCTGACATGTGGTTTCAACAAGATCGTGCCACATGCCACACCGCACACGAAACAATAGCCCTATTGAGAGGCGAGTTCGGTGAACAGTTTATCTCACGTTTGGGGCCCGTCAATTGGCCGCCTAGATCGTGTGATTTAACGCCGTTAGATTATTTCTTGTGGGGCCATGTTAAGGCTAATGTCTACAGCAGAGTTCCCCAAACTTTTTTGTGTCGTAGACCCCTTGCCATGTTTTTCCGTGTTGGCTAGACCCCCTACTTACCTGATATTGTTTTCCTGTAAATTTCTAACTGTAGTGAAGTTTAGTGTTAAAAACTTAAAGTAAAAACACATGTTAATTTATACATTTATTAATTGAATTTAAATTAAAACTACTCAAAATAAAATTTTGTATCTGTTATGTAAAATATACGTAACATTAAATAAACAGGTGTCTGACCAATAAGTGCCCGCATTGGGAATAAGTGCCCGCATTGAAAAAAAAAAAATAAGAGGGATAGAATAAAAAAAAATTAAAAATAATATAAAAAAAGTCTTTTACTTAAAATAGTACAATAAGCGAGTTCGTTTATTAATTATAACATAAACGTATGTTATACAATAATTTCACTGTTAGTTTGATTAAATTCCGCTTCTTATACGTTTAAGTTATCTAAAAATAGGCAAAAAATTAACGAATTTTAGTGTGTACCTATCCTTGAATTTTCAGAATAATTAAAAAAAAAATATTTTCTTTAAAAAAATCAATGAGGGCACTTATTGGTCAGACACCAATAAACGTAAAATAAACTATAAATAAAATAACATAAGTAATAATTCAATATTTTTAGTGAGAAGGATGAACCTGTTGCTTTAATAATAAATTATCAACATTTGGCGTCAATTTTGTAAGGGTTAATCTTAAATCTCCTCGGCTAATGATGTCCAGTCTGTTTCTTTTTTCGTTAGGAGATTGGTAACAGCGCTGAACCCCCTTTCCACTAGGTATGACGATGAAAAGGAAATTAAAAATTTCCTCGCTATATTCCATAATACGGACTAAGTAACGGGTATGTTGTTTTGCAGCCAGAATTGCTGATATCCGTTTTTAAACTGAACCTTAAGTTCTTCGTTTGTACTTAAGTAGATGTCTTATGGGGATTCGGTCTCAAAACTTCCAAAATCCGCCACCAGAGGCGCTGGCGTCGCGCGCCATTGACAGGTTGTTGGACGGAATCTGTATTCATGAGTTGGGGATTCCGCCGCTAGATGGCGCTGTCAAACCAAACGGAATCTGTGTGTCATTGGACACCTGTCATGCGTCATTGGACATCTCACGCATAGATGGCGTTAAAACGTCATCTGTCATACGTCATTGGACACCTGTCATTGATGGGTTGGGCATCTCGCGCATAGATGGCGCCGATTTGTTTGGCGGTGTACAAACCTAACGGAATCTATGTGTTATTGGACACCTGTCATTGATGGGTTGGGCATCTCGCGCATAGATGGCGCCGATTTGTTTGGCGCTGTACAAACCAAACGGAATCTATGTGTCATTGGACAGCTGCCATTGATGGGTTGGGCATCTCGCGCATAGATGGCGCCGATGTCGCACCTGTCTGGTGTTGGCGTGGATTACGGGGGGCAACGTGTATACAGGGGTGCATCGAAAAATAGCGGATCGATGGACCGACGGTATATCGTTAAATCGTATATAGCAAGGCGTGACCTAAATAGCGTGGTGGGCTCCTCTGGTCGGTCGGTCGGTCGGTCAGAATGTCTCATAACCTGTATACGATGTACTGTTATTATTATACAGGATGATACCGTTCAAAATGAAACTTTATGTAGTAGAATGATGGTGGGGGGTGGGGAGTCGAAGGAACCGAATGTTTTTTTTTTGTTTGACAACAGGCTGAATACGAAATAAACATAGCTTTCTGAAAAATGTATTTTTTTTTAATGATATACAGATACAAGTTTAGATAACAGAGTTTTTAGTTGATGTAACAAATCCTCGCTGGGGCATGGTACTCCAAATAGAGTCCAATGAAATGGTCCGGTCGCAACAACTTTTCTTGTAAATTCATTAAATTTATAGTAAGTTGCGTGACGGAAAAAGTAAATATGGCCATCAATCCATCGAAATGCGAGAGAAATATCTTCAGGTAATTCAGGAAATATGTCTCTTATCCGTCCTCTGTTCAACACATCAGTAAAATCGTTAGAAAATTCTATATATGACATATTATTATAAAAGGTATAGGACCGTCCTGCGTTTGATTGAAAAATAGCATTGATTCGAGCCCTATCGGGTATATCAATTGAAAAATTATCAAGAAATTTAATGGTAGGGAATGATGCTGAGAAATAGTTGTTTGGAGACACAATGGTAATCAAGTCACCGTTTGTTGATTGGAAAATATGTTGTAAAGTGTATTGACGTAATTCTGTAGGAACATAATCGACAAGAAGTTCAGGCTGAGATGGGATAATCATTTCGTTTAAGTCTAGTTTCCATATAAACATATCATGTGCAATATATAATCGGTAATTTGAAAACTCTGGAGCAATAGCTAAAAACATAAAATCTGGAATAATATCACACAAATTTTTGAGGATCGGCTGCTTACGAGTTGTAGATCTTATAGTTGTTGTTGTTTTTGGTATTGCTGATGCGGTGGTAGACGTTGGGATTGAATCATATTTGTTTTTTCTTCCATATAGATATTGTACTGCATTTATATCATCAACATCTAGACCACGAATCTCATGCTGATAGAAGGCAAACATAATAGCATTCGGAGAAGCACTATGTGCTATGCCGAGGGCATGTCCAATTTCATGAACCAACACCATAAGAAAACTAGTTTGATTTTTGGGTATATTAGGATTATTTCCAAAATACCAGCGTTCATTTATATCTAAATGGATTTCTCTACAGGTGCCGCTAGAGTCAGGAAAGTATGCATGTCCTAAAACGCCGCCAGCATCATCTAATGTCAATGGACATTCATCATTACCCATACAGTTTGCGCTAAAATAATGAGTCTTGCTAACCATGGTTATAGTAATATCAGGAGGATATAGAGTGGGATTGGTAACCATTGTAAATGTTAAGTTTGAAACATTTTGCCACATCTGAAAAGCCATTTCTGCATCTTTTTGGGCCGCAGGTGTGTTTCGAGGGAAATACCATTTCAGGTCATGTTTCCGAAATGGAAAACTTGCTCTAAATTCAGCATCACTGTATTGACAACGCGGACGATTCATAAATTCAATTGTTGCATTATTCAACAATCCATCCACTGGTAAATTATACTTTTCTTGCAAGTTAGTTAGCAAAGTAGAGAGATCTGTTGTATTATCGATGATATGTTCATATTGAGTTAGGTATACTATAGCGTCTTTTCGGAGAAATCGTTGCAAAGCACGTATGTGAAAGTTGAAATAAAAAATAATACGTCTACCCCCATCAACATCTTGATAGAGAATGATGTCAAAAATCTCAGATAGCAAATATAAATTCGTTTACCCCCCAATCAAAATCTTGACTGAAAAAAAATTAGGCAGCAAATATACAATAATCATACACGAATTTCTATATTTCTAAAATTCTACTCTCATGTGCAACTTGTAATTGGAATTTCCGCCGGACAAACGATACATTCATGTATTACTAAGAAATTATATAAAAAATACTGCAACCGCAATGAATGTTGTTTTCTCGATAAAAATGGTACTGAGAATATGATGAATATAATATGCATATTTACGATACAAATTATCTCATGCACGCGTGTGTCATCTCAACTACGTACTTATATTGAGCGAGCGCATGCAGTTTTCTCGATAAAAATGGTACTGAGAATATGATGCATATAATATGCATATTTACGATACAATTATCTCATGCACGCGTGTGTCATCTCTACTACGTACTTATATTGAGCGAGCGCATGCAATAGTCATCATTGTTTCACACTTAACGCACAACGCTGCAAGCTGCAACAACGACCGCAGTACAATTAGTGCTTCGAGAGAGACGAGAGAGCGAAAATTTTAAAAAAAGTAAGTGCTATTTTATTTAATATTTTTCTTTTTTATGTCTCTAAGTGCAACTGTTTTTTTTTTTTTTCGTGTTATGCTTCAAAATAGTTAGACGACTCAATTTTTTTTTATAGATGGATTTATCAAAAATTAATGCTGCGTCTTCGATTGTAGACCGCAAACCTATCAGAAAATTAAAGGACCTACCAGTCGGGACACCATTTGCAATCCAAGCAGCTAAAGTGGTCAAGTCGAAATTTGGGGAAGCCGTGCTACTAGATTTAGGACCGGAAGTGCTATTTCTACCACAGCGGGTGACGGAAACGTACCAGCCGGTCATCGACGAACTTTTTCACGGAAAATACTCGATCATCTTCCAAGGGGAAGTGGACGTAGGGAAAAGCCGACCGCTAGCATCATTCAAAATAGTGGAAAATTAACAAAGCAGAGAACAGGAGGAGGACAGGGTGAGCATTTTTATATATTTTTGAGTAATGTGTTTGCTTGAAAAAAAAAATGTCGTCTTTTCAAATGTCTTCAAATAAGGTTAAAAAGATCATCAAACAAACAGACGGTGTTCTACTATCAATTGTTAGTCTACGGAAAATTTTATTTGATAATTTTACAATCAGAGACGCGGAAGTGTGGCTGAAACGAATAGAAAAACAAATTAGATTATGTAAACGGGTAATTCGTAGTAGAAGGCAAAATAAATTATCTGTAGGGACCTGTAGAAAAGTAGAAACAAATTTGGGGCATTTTAAAACATTTTAGAAAGTTGATTTTAACTAGACATATTGGGGCAGGACTTCACTTAACATTGGGTCAGAGGGTTAGATGGGAAAATGTAGAATCGAGCTTTCAAGTAGAATAAAAACCGGTTCCATAGCTAATTTGCGTCATAAGGACTTGAATCAATTTTTAGCAGATTGTGTAGTTGTTTTTAAAAGGAAAATTAGGATATTTTGAACACCCATTGTGCGCTCAAAGTAAATACAACATTTTGCGGGGAGTTTATTAGGAAATCGGGGGATAATGAAATTTTGGGAATTAAATATATTAATACTAAAAATCATATTATTGATACATCAACTCAAATAGACGAGTGGTTTAAGATATATGTTAAAGATAAACTTTTAAAACGAATTATCGGAATTTGCTGAAAAAGATTCGGGATTTGCGTTAAATAAAATTATTTCCTTAGTTGTTAATATCAG